ACACCTATGACTCTTGCTTGTCTGAATGTATTTACACAGACCGTAAATGGATTAGCTTGAAGTGACACAAAAATGTGTGTGAGAGAGAGGGGGAGGGAGGGAGAGAGAGAGAGAACAAGAGAGAAAGAACAAGACGGAGAGAACAAGAGAGGTGGAGGGGAAACAAGAGAAAAAGAAGGTGCCTGCACACAACCTACATTCTTAAATTTTCTTGAGATTTTACCTCAGCAACTTTTGACACCACTGACCATGAAACCTTGCTACAACAGCTCGGTGGGTTATGAAATATAGGTTCAGTGGAAGTTTTATTCCTATGTGTAGGACCCTCCCCAGAGTGTTTCTAATGGGAGAATTTGCTTGAGTTGTCTATCCAGAGCCACTGGAAGTTGACTGTCTGGAGACTGTGTCATCCTCATGAGATTCAAGTCAATCTCTTTTCTAATGAATCTTGTGCCTTTCTAAGTCAGAGATCCTGTTGACAGGAGGGTTTCAGACCCAGGGATTAGGAAAATGTTCCCTGTGGCAGAAGGTATTGCTTCTTCCAAATGAAGACATGCATAACTGGGTGCTTTCCGTGACTTTAACCTGCCACTAGAAGCATAGTTGCCCTCAGTTGTAAGGAAAATCTATACCAAGCTTCAATGCTCAAGATGGATGCCTGGACCAAATAACTGCCTGTTATTTTGCTTTTCTGTTTTATTGAATGAATTTTGTTCTTTTTTAAAAATCTTTATACTGTGTTCGTTGTTGTTGTTTTTCATGATGGTTGCATGTAGGACTTTCTTATTATTCGCTCGCAAACTGCTCAAGCATCCTCTGGGAGGAACAGAGGTAGAGAAATAAAATAAAAAGACAACACAGCTACTTAAGGTTCAGCCAATGAACAGAAATTATCAATTTAAAAAAACCCAACCCAGGAAATCTGTCCAATTTAACGAAATATGGCTCCATCGTAAACTTCAGTGCAGTGTTTCTTTTCTTCATTTACACTTAACGAACTGATAACTCTGCCTTTATTGGTTGGGGGCTGTTTTCATTAACAGAGAAGATCTGTTGAGGAGAAGTGATTCTAGAACTGAGAGGAAGATGGTTTGAAGATGTCCCACAGCCAGACTAGGTATTATAATTTTGCCCGTGTTAAGAATCACTGTGTTTGGGGTTTTTTTTCCTGCCAGTTAGTGGAAGAACCTGACCTGAATAACTCTTGAGTCTCAAAAATAGATCGAATGTAATAATTCACTCATTTTTTTTCTTGTCGAGAACGATATAATCCTTGACTCGGTTGTCCTCAGGTGAGTTAGATCCACAACACCCAAGGTATCTGACAGCACCATGTTGAGAGGAGTTTCCATTGATCTTCAGAATGTATCTTTCCCCCTTCAGCTTTTTAACATCCAAATTGAAGGGTTGTGGTCAATATTAGGGTAACTACTTGGGGATTTCTTTTCAGCAGATCTAAAAATAAGATGCCATCAATCTATTCTATCTGAAACAACTCTGCACCAGAACGGAGCGGTTCTTCTGTTCAGACACAATGGGGAAGATATCATTTGTATCATGCATCATCTTCCATTCATCAATGGTAAGGCCTCCCTAATTTGCCTCCTTTTCTCCTATACTCAAGGAGATCCAATTCAGTTAGAGCAGGGGTGTCAAACTGGATTTCCTTGAGGGCTGCATCAAGGTTGTGTTTAACCTGGGGGGGAGGTGTGCAGCTCGATGTCACTTGTGTTGGAGCGCCTGTGGTGGCCCCAGCGCTCTGCCAGCGAAAACGGGTTCCCAAGCTCCGTTTCTGGCTGTGGCAGCCTCCTGCCACCCTTTGCCAGAGAAAACAGAGCCCTCCCGAGCTCTGTTTTCGCTGGCAGAGGGTGGCAGGAGGCAGTCACAGCCAGAAACGGAGCTTGGGAACCCGTTTTCGCTGGCAGAGGGTGGCAGGAGGCAGTCACAGCCAGAAACGGAGCT